TGTGTGTGTGTGTGTGCATGATCAAATAAAACTAGGTTCTAATTCCAGGCTTTTATATTCTTCACATCTGAGACCTTTGACAAATAACTCTAATACTGTAGGCCAAAGATCTCATTGAGTTATTGAAAATATTCCATAAACACTGAATTTTAGATATTTAGCACAGTGTTTGGCAAATTAATGTCATCTTTTATGATTATTGTCAGTATCATTATTATGTCTAAGTGACCAAAGTATTAACTTTTAAGAATAACTTTGGCACAGTATCCTCATTATTATTTTAAAAATCTTGAAGATCATCTTAGCAAGTATTTCAATGAATTTGATATCAGGGGACTGATCACTTTTATTCATTGAACTAGCCTTGTTGTTATTGTTGTTAAGTCCCATGGAGTCAGTTTCAACCCATAGTACCCTACACAGAGTTTCCCAGGCTGTAAATCTTTACAGGAGCAGAAAGAATCATCTTTCTCCTGCAGAACGGCTGGTAGTTTCGAACTGCCAGCCTTGAGATTAGCAGCCCGATTCATAACCACTACACTACCAGAGCTCTGTATTGAGCTCGCAGTTTCCCCAAATATCTAAGTTTCATTCCAGAACTGAAACAACTTGGCATTATATTTTTGGTTAGTTTCACATTGTCTTTATTCCATTCCATGGCCACAAAAAAATTTTGGCAATGATGGAATTATATGCCATTGTACCAGATTTGGTGATCTTGATAAAGCACAGCAGATTAAACCACAGTTAAAAGAACTACTTAAGAAACCTTTATATGAAGTACTGAGTAAACACAAGCTATTTGATAGGGTGTTTTTTGGTTCACACTAGCAGATGGAAGGCAGGATAAAGTAGGCAGAAATACATAGGTGAAATCAAGAGACCTCCATATTTTCTTGCATGGGTTTAACAAATTATCTACTACTCTGGATCTTTATACAATCTTAAAATGAGAGTTTAAACTTGTGTTCCAGTCTCTATATTGTGTTTGCTAAACTACCAGCTGCTCCGCGGGAGAAAGATGAGGCTTTCTACTCCCGTAAGGATTTACACCCTCGGAAACCCTGTACAGGGTCGCTATGAGTCGGAACCGACTCGACGGCACTTAACAACAACAACAACAACATCCTACTGAAGGAAATTCTGGTGTAGTGCTGTAGGTTAATGCATTGGACTGCAAAGCCAGTTTGAACCTCAAGGTTGGTGGTTCAAGCTCACCAGCCGTTCCTTGGAAATCCCATACAGGGTCACTATGAGTCAGAATCGACTTGATGGCACTTAACAAAACAACAATAGTACTGCATATTAATTCTCAGTAGTTTGTTCCTCATTCTATTGGCAGAATATACAGTTCAGCCTTCCCATAAACACACCTAGTTTATATATCTCAGAACACAGAGGATAGAACTATGACCCAAAGAAAACTTATGCAAATCCTATAGAACACATCTTGGATTACTGTTAGGCAACTTGTCGAAAAGTACTTTACAAGGAATTTTCCATCGAGTCACAAAGATAAGATACATTTATTTTTACAATGAGGAATCTTTCTAGGTTAACATTGATGATTTTTCTAAGAAAGTTTCTGCTTCCAATTTCTGGATGTTTTCCTTTGACTTAGGTTGTATAACAGACACTATGAATGGACGAAATTATTTATAATGGCAACTTGTAAATCACATCAATAGAAAAGGACTTATCGTAACTATGGAGAGAATGGGTGAATTTCTATTTTATCTGTATGATTCACTGATTTGATCTTAGGTTTAAGTAGTACAGGTGGGTCTGACCCAGCTTAACTCATGACCATTATCAATCTTACTCTCAAACTTGAGAATAAGAACCTATTTGCCTGAACTTTCTAACTGACTAGAAGATTCATTCTGAAAGAGTCTGTCATTGCAAGATTGTAATGAAAGGAAAGGAAGTCACAACTTTCCTGGAAAAGTAAGTTAAGAATCCTGGAATTCATTGTTTTGCAAGGGTAGGGAATATCAGGCCCACAAGCCTTATATTGTTGTTAAGTGCCGTCAAGTTGATTCTGATCCATAGCGACCCTGTATAGGGTTTCCAAGGAGCAACTGGTGAGCTTGAATCACCGACCTTTTGGTTCAAGTGGCTTTGCAGTCGGGCACAGTAACCCACAGTGCCACACTAGTGAAATCATTTGGCGTGGCCATGCCAAGGCAACCACAGTTCCAGCCATCACATTGTTGTTGTTACATGCCTTTAAGTCAGTTCTGACCCATAACAACCCTGTATAGGGCTTCTAAGGAGAGACTGGTGAGCTTGATTCACTGACCCTGTGGTTCAAACCAATTTTACACTCCAGTGTATTAACCCCAGCACCACTTCAAGACTCCAGTTATCACATTTGTGTTGTTGTTAAGTGACATCAAGTCAGTTAATCACATTGTTGTCATTGTTAAGTGCCTTCAAGTTAGTTCCAACTCATAGTGACTCTGTATAGAGTTTCCGAGGAGTAGCTGGTGAGCTTGAACCATTGACCTTACGTTAACCTACATTGCACATTAACCTACAGTGCCACACCAGGATATTTGGGGTGAGTTAATTAAATTGCCAAATATGGCAGGTTAATTTTTAAATTGATAATTGTGTATTGTCTGCGAATGATGTTATAAATGTTGGCAAAAAAAAAAAAAGGTTCCCCACTTTGATTTAGAGGATATTTTGTTTTATACAACAAAGAGCCCCTATGTCACTGTGGGGTAATGGTTCCCCACCCTTGATTTAGAACATATGTTCTTTTATACAACAAAGAGTCCCTGTGGCATTGTAAGATAAGCTACAAGGTTAGCAGTTTAAGCCCAATAGCCACTCCACAGGAGAAACATGAGTCTTTCTGCTCCTGTAAAGATTTGCAGTCTCACAAACTCCATACAGGGTCACTATGAGTTAGAACTGATTTCATGATAGCCAGTTTGATTTGGGTTTCTCTTAATACTTTAATACAACAACTATTATACAATACTGAGATTTATGTAAGTCTTCAGAGTCTTACAAACATTTTATCATTAGTTCCTTACAATAGCTGTATGAGTAGAGAAGGGTAGGGATCGTATCTTCCCCATTGTAAAGATAATAAGCCTAGAGGAAATTGTGTGGTTTATCAAAATTATGTAGTATTAGATCTATGGTCTAATGTATGGAGTCCTGGTGTGGCAATGTAAGATAAGCACTGGACTGCAAGGTTAAATCCAACTGCAAGTCCAACAGTTCAAACCCACCTGTCACTCCTTGGAAAGCCTATTTTTTCTATGAATCAGAACCTACTCAATGGCACTTAACAACAACTAGGGTCTTATGTAGATTTTCTGAGTTTATTTATTATGTTTTTTTTCAATTATCCCTTACTTTATAGGAGTTTCAGAAACTAAAACCAGGTTCTCCACAGAAGGTATTATATAAATTAACATAAAATTCTCTATATTGGAAGAAAATTGTCATATTAAGGAAAATACCAATATTATTCTATGAGACAAATAAGTGACTTATCTATTTCATGGCAAAGATTATCAAGGTTTCAGCAATCTTGCCACTTTCCCACAAAGCTTTTATATGAAAACTAGAGAAGAATATTTTAGTTTAAAATGACAACATTGATCATTCACCGGATGGTACTGTTTTCTGACGTTACCTCTTTCATTAAAAAGAAAGGAAAAAAAAATCATATTGATTTCAATCAAGAGTATTTACATGGATGAGTCAGGCAAGGAAAACAGCTGGTTATATTCTCTTGTTGCTGTTAAATGGCATCAGATTGGTTCTGATTTATAGTCGCCCTACATAAAGTTTCTATGGGGTGACTGGTGGGTTTGAATTGCTGACCTTGTGGTTAGTAGTCCAATGCTTGAGAAAGCATTTGTGTTAAATTGCATTCAAATCAATACTTAATATGAGATCATGACAAGTCACTAAATTTCCTTGACACTCCATTTCCTCATCTCTGAAACAGTGTAATGACTCTACCTAATTTGGTTAAGGGAAGAACATGTAATTAAGAGTAGAATTGAGCCATGTTCATTAGTTTATCTACTTCAACAGTGGAATATTATTTAGCAGTACTTTTTATTCAACAACTAATATACACTAGTTGAAAATAAATGGCTGCTGGATAAAACATGAAAAATTTAAGATTGTGAGTCCTTGGCAGAATTCAGGAATGTAAGGATTTCTTTGTTCATGGTACATCTGTCAATTGTATAGTCTACATCTCTGTAGTATTCCTGAGTTTCTAGCATCTAACCTATCCATCTTCTCTTCTAGGACAAATGATTTTGATCTGAGAATTGGTGAAATCCATGATAGAAAAAATATATATATCCCCATTGGTGAATCATCTATCTTCATATCTGAATGCAAAAAGAACTATTCCTTATTTTATTACTGTAGAAGACAATGTAGACTGTTGGGGAAATGGACTCACTGATTTTCAGCTTTTCCATCTCTTACCTCCTAGTTTGTGATACAAGGGCACAACTCCATCTCATCTACATTCTGGGAATCTCCAGATGGCAATGTTGGGTATCAAACTACTTATTCAATAAAAATATATTCAACAGAACTTAATTTCTGTTTTTATTTTATTATACCACAGCCTGGATAGTAGGAACTTAATGGATGCTGAATAAACCCTATTATTTTGTCTTGAAAGCACCCTGATAGACAGAAAGTTTTTACATTGTTCAGATGAAAGGTGTTATCATAATTTGGAAAGAAATAACTAGTGAAGACTCCCAGGTAGTCATCTATTGTATAAACCCAAAGGAGATATGAATCAACCTCACCCATACAACACATCACCATACCAACTTCCCCATTGAGCTTCCATATTCTCATGAAGAGCATAACTGTCTCTCAGTTGCATAAACCCCATTCAAATATTCAGACCAATAATTTCTCATATTTAGTCAAGGTACCTCTTCATAATCTGCTTTGTTAAGACCTGCACCCACAGTCTGGGGAAGACAAAGGAAATCAGAGTTCCTAGTGTTTGCAAGTCTCTAGAGAAATGTTGTTCAATAGAAATACAATGAGAGTTGTATATGCAATTTTAAAATTTCTATTTAATTGGCCTGTGAGCTGTAGTTTCCCTATTATGGCTAAAATAAAAATAAAAAAGAAATGAGGGGAAATTAACATTAATAGCTTATTTTAGTTAGCTTATTATATCCAAGGACTCCTGGTATGATGTTATAGGATTAGCACTGGACTGCAAACCACAAGGCTGGCTGCTCAAACCCACTCTATACAGGGTCATTGAGTCAGAACTGACTCTATGACACTTAACAGCAACAACAATATATTATATACAAGGAGTCCTGGTGTGGTATTGCAGGATAAGCTAATTGCAAGGTTGGCAGTTCAAGCTCAACAGCTGCTCCTTATAAACCCTATACAGAGTCAGAACCAATGCAATGACACTTAACAACAATAACAATGACAAATATATTCTAACAATTATTTCCATGAACTTTTTGAAGCCCCTTCATACATGTATTGTTATTTATGATGTTTTTTAATTGATGAGCACTTGATAGCACAGTTTCATTTAGTAGGGCCATGTGTTGAGTATTCAATGACTGCATGTAATACTAAGCATAATGAACACCTATTACTGTTGAGCTGCTTCTGACCCATGGTGACCCATAGGTTGCAGTGTAGAACTGCTCCAAACAGTTTATTCTTGGCTCCAATCTCCACCTAAGCAGACTGCCAGGACTTCCTTCTATGATGCGGCTGTGTGGATTTGAACCACCAACTTTAGTTTCAGTGTGAGTCATTTGCACCACATAGGGATGCTGTAGGATCAGTACTGATCTGAGAACCATGAAGTTGCCAGTTCTAGCCCACTAGTTGTTCCGTGGGAACCCTTTACAAGGTCACTATAAGTCAGAACCGACTCCACGGCATACCACCACCACCACCATTTTCTAGGCTAATTTGCCGAGCAGTGAAAACAAATCAACCCCTATATTGTTGTGTTTTTAATCCTGTGCAATCAATTAGAAAAATAAATGTTTTAAAATAATTTTTAAAATATGAAAGGTACAGAATAATTTCAGAAGAGAAGAAAGGAAAATCCTATTGAGTTATTGTCTTTGACAATTCCTAGGTGTACAAGATGGGTTGAGAGATTCTAGGACATGTAAAATTATATCTCCTTTCTGTTGTGTTTGTTGTTATGTGCCATGGAGTTGGTTCCAACTCATAGTGACCCTGTACAGGGTTTCCAAGGCTGTAAATCTTTACGGGAGCAGAAAGCCTCATCTTTCTCTCTCGGAACAGCTGGTAGTTTCAAACTGCTGACCGTGAGATTAGCAGAATGATTCATAACCACTACTCTACAAAGCTCCTTACTGGCAATTCCTAGGTAATTTAGAAAACTATTTTCATGCCTATAAGTAAGTGTAACAGAGCATCAGATTTGAGGACGACTCATGAACTGCCTCAAAACTCATAGAAGCAGAAGTCAAGAAATCAAATGACGTATTGCATTAGGCAAATCTGCTGCACAAGACCTTTTTAAAGTGTTGAAGAGCAAAGATGTCAGCTTGAGCACTAAGGTGTGCCTGACCGAAGCCATGGTATTTTCAATAACCTCATATGCACGCAAAAGCTGGACAGTGAATAAGGAAGACTGTAGAAGAATTGATGTTTTTGAGTTATGGTGTTGGAGGAGAATATTGAAAATGCCGTTGGCTGTCAAAAGAACCAATAGATCCATTTTTGGAAGAAGTGCAGCCAGAGTGCTCCTTGGAGGCCAAGATGGCCAAACTTCGTCTCTCATACTTTGGACATATTGTCAGGAGGGACCAGTCACTGGAGAAGGATATCATGTTTGGTAAGGTGAAGGGTCAGAGCAAAAGAGGAAGAGCCCCAACGATATGGATTAGCAAAGTGGCATCAGCAGTGAGCTCAAGTGTGGTAACAATTGTGAGTTGGCCCAGGATCAGGCAGTGTTTTCTTCTGTTGTGATAGGTCACTATGAGTTGGTACTGACATGATGGCACCTAACAACAACAATAATATTAACTGCCTGCGATATGCAGATGATGCAACCTTGCTTGTTAAAAGTTTAAAAGACTTAAAATATTTACTGATGAGGATTAAACACCACATCCTTCAATATGGAGTACAGCTCAATGTAAAGAAACTAAAAAATCATCACAGCTGAACCAATAAATGGCATCATGATAGGTAGAGCAAAGATAATGGAAAAAAGTTGCCAAAGTTTTGTCAAAAGTTGGCTACACATTGTTTAGATCCACAATCAACTTTCATGTCAGCATCAGCCAAAAAATAAAATGACATATTGCATTAAGCAAATCTGCTGCAGAAGACCTCTATACAGTGTTCAAGAACAAAAAGATCAGTTTGAGGATTAAGGTATGCCTGACCCAAGCCAGGGTATTTTCATTAGTCTTGTATGCATATGAAAATTGGGCAATTAATAAGTAAGACCATAGAATAATTGATGCATTTGAATAATGGGGTTATAGAAGAATACTGGAAGTACCATGGGCTGCCAGACAAACAAACAAATCTGTGTTGGAAGGGGAATACAGCTAGAACGCTTTTTAGAAATCAGGATTGCAAGACTTCATCTCTCATTCTTTGGGCATATCATCAGGAAGAACCAGTCCCCAGAGAAGGATGTCATGCTTGGTAAAATGGAGGGTCAGTGATAAATAGGAAGACCCCCAATGAGATGGATTGGCACAGTGGCAGCAGCAATGGGCTCAAGCATAACAGGACTGGACTTTGTTTCATTCTGTTGTGCATAGGGTTGTTCTGAGTTGGAACTGACTTGATGGCACCTAACAACAGCAACAATGAAAAATCCTTTGCATTTCTTTATCATATTATCAACTAATAAGCGCTTAAGACTTTGTTATCTAACACCCTGACCATCAGGAAAAAATTGAGGCTTTAGTGTGCTGAAATAGTGAAGGGATTGTGACATGGGATGGGGAGAACCTAGGAACTCAGTGAGGATCAGGTGTGAGGCAAGGAAAGCAGAGGTTCAGAATAGGATGGGGGTCAAAGAAAAGACAAATGGTAATGAATCTGAGATTCAGGAATGGGGCTTAAATATGTGAATGTATAGAACACATTGTTTATGATTTAAATGATCAGATTTATTTTTGGAGGCACAAACTATGTTGTTGTTGTCAGGTGCCATCAAGTTGGAACCGACTCATAGCAACCCCATGCACAGCAGAACGAAACAATGTCTGATCCTGGGCCA